CTCCTGTTTAGGGCTTGATTCCGCTTTCCATCACTCGGGCATCAACAAAACAAGGATCACTTTGTGCAGGTCAATTGTAGTCAACCTCCATCTCTGACTGGCCCTGGCCACAGGGACGTGGAACCTCAGACGCTCGTTCGGTGCGAGTAGACGCAGACTCTCAAGAAGCCTCTTCCAGGGAGGGAAAAGACAACTCTGGGGGTGGTGATGGTGGTGGTGACGACAACAACGTGCATGTGATATACAGCACTTCGCAGACGAACATTGGTGGATCGCTTTGATTTGTGATGCTTAAAGACTCCCTCAGCTGCAAGGTGGCCAGCAGATGGCGAGACAGTAGATGAGTTTTTGAAATCTTCTGTGTGGTGCTGTAAGTGGTATCCCCCTCTTCATTTTTTTCCTCCGGTTACTCCAATTTGCTCCCAATATATAGAGGGTTGCCAAAAGATGCCAATGAAGGCCCCTACTAAAAAAGTAACGTTACTTTTAGGCATTCCTGTATGTATGGATTAATAGTGGTCATCAAAAGATTAATAGTGGGCATGAATGGATTACTAGTGGGAATTAATGGATTAATAGTGAGCATTAATGGATTAATAGTGGGAATGAATGTATTCAGTGGGAATGAATGGGTTAATAGTGGGCATAAATGGAACCAAGTTAGTTAACAAAGAATAGCTGTTAAGCTCCTGATCGACTTGGAACTAGGGACTTGCATTAGCAAATCATTCATTCTCGGGCTTATTGCAAACACAGCATTTATTAAAAAAAAACTATTCCTTGCCTTCAAATGTGGCAGATTAATGGTCTCAAGCCGATCACATTGAATTTGGTTCTTCCATTTCATTTGGGCAAAATTCCAGCTACGAGAATTCTAAATAAATTCGACGGTGGCGCGATGAACCTCGCTGCCATATGCAGAGCGGTTGGCAAAGTGCTCCCCTTTTTTTCACGTGGATCACAGGTTACTCGAAGGGATCTCGAAAGGTAGCTCTGTGATACCCGCTTCCGTGGGCTGTTCTCTGACACGAAGGGTTGGCGCACCGCCGTGCGAGTGATCCAAAGGGGGGTACTGAATGTCGTGGCAGTGTGACGCCCATAGTGCAATCGGAATTTAAAAAATGCGTGGCTAAGTGACACAAACAAATCGTGTTCATTTCTAGCCACTGCAGTAATACTTGACAGTTTAATCAGCAGGTGCTAAAATGAGTCTCGGGACTTATTTTAGGAGGGTCCTGCGTTGGGGCGTTTGACCAACCCCTTGTTGGAAGAAAGACTGCCCGAAGAAAAACCTGCACATACGACAATGTAACACCTAAACGATCCCTACACATTGGCTGGCAACCTGTTTGTTGCGTTGCCATCTCCGGCATCACCTCGCAGGCTGGGAGCCCGCCTCTAGAGCACTGGATTACAGGCGTGCATTAACAGCACACCAGGCCATTAATTATGCCTCGTTAATGTCCGAGGAGGCAGATGTTGGTCGCTCATATGGAACAGAAAAAAAAGATACCAAGGTTCCTGTTTTGCTGGCACACAGCCACGTGGGCTGGTCGGGTTGGCACTCATTGGCCCATCGTTGCGTCTCGCACACGCTCAGACATAGATCTTCCATTTAACGTCAGAGACTTCAGCAGAAAGTTGCCGACAACCACCCGGCTAAGGCCACCGTGGCATCTAGGGGGGTGCGGTGTAACCAGCACCACATCCGACCACCTTTGTCTTCCTAGTGCCTGTGTTCACAGACACTGCACCTGGCACTATTTTAAGGCTGAGATGACCTAGGGGAAGCCCACGGCATGTTCAGATACCGCTCTCCATGGATGGGAATTGAGGTAAAGATGGCTGGGATTGTAGCGCAATTTGTCAAACCACTGTCCCGCCACTCTCCAAAGACAGACCCCCGTATAGCCTTTACAGACTGTTTGGGGAAGTGCTGTTAGCAAGCACCTATGAAAGCCGACACAGCACACAAGGGGGTGGGTGGTCAGCACCATGCCCGACCACCTTTGTCTCCCTAGTGGCGATGCTTACACACCGCACCAGGCACTAATTTGGGGCTGAGTTAACCTAGGAGAGGCCGAGGACCGGCTCAGATAATCGTCACTGGTGTTGGCCGTAAGCGGGAATCAAACTCGGGTCGTCAGGTTCGTAGCGCGGCGTACTAACCGCCACCTACACCACCGCTCCACACACTCGCACACGTACACACTCCTTATTCGCTTACACACAAACTGTGTGAAATGCACAAACGCAATGATCCCCTGTATAGCTTTCATAGACTGTTGGGGCAAGTGTTGTTGGCAACGACCTATTAAGGCCTGCACCGCTGATTTTGGTAGTGTGGCCAGACCACACCCAGCCGCCTTTATCTTCTCAGTGCTCATTTTAACACTCGGTGCCAGCTAGTCAATTAAGGCCGAGTCAACCTAGGGGAGGACCAGCGCCAGTTCAGATTGCACTTGCCCGTTGATGTCAGCGATGGCCAGGAATCAGCTCGTATCTGCGGATTGATGGTGCTTTGCACTACTAACCACTGCGCCACCACTGCCTACAAACGCACAGGCATGAACAACACACGCACAAGGATAAACAGCAAACACACTACAAAAGCACGCAATCATCTTCAAGGCTCCCAGTGGGGCGTCCTCAAACATAAAAGTAATTAAAAACAAATGCCGGCAAACAGAACTGGCACGTTACTATTCTCTTCGTGGTAAAGCCTGCTATCCTGCTGCAGGGTGGGAGGACCACACACCGATCGCCATGTGTGCGAGGTGCCAACCTGCAGGCGTATTAGCCGCGTGTGGCAGTACGGTAAGTAGGTTGCGACCTATGTTGTGACGAATCTTATCCCCTCTCCGAAACTTAAAAGTCCTTTTTTGGGCATGGGTCAGATTCTCGGGCTTTGTCTGGCCATGAGCTTCTACTCTGTGCTTTTTTTTTGTCGAGTTGCATCCACTGTCCTCATATCTCGCTCCACGGCATCCTCCTTCTCCCTCTACTCCTTCTGTTCCCCTCCAATTACATCTTCTCTGTCTCTTCTCAACATGTGTCCAGTCATCAACATTGCAGGACTGGCATCAAAAGAAAACTTGAGATTGTCGTTTCCTTATCAGAAAGTCGGTGGTTTCCTACTTCAACTCGTGTGGAGGGGGCACTCCCTCTCCTGTTTACATCCTTGAGTCACGGGTGGAAATTCCACATTCCTATGGCAGTTGCAAGTAAATGTACATAACAAAGGCTGTTGACATCCAACAAAGTGGTGCGTATATTATACAACCTGGATTTGGTGATGGGCTGGGTCATCCCCCTCCCCCCCCCCCCGCTGTAGACATTTTTTATCGCAGCCTTTTGATTGCGAGCCACGTGCCGCTATTATTAAAGTGGTGCATTAATCGACGCGACACTCCGCCGCCTGAATGTGCGTGCAGCTCACGCAGCCTGTCTAGGAGTGCGGCGTCGTCGCTTGTTGTGAACGATCAAAATATCAAAATAAACAGCGCGGCAGCTGCCAGTTATGTCGATGGCAAAAGGAGAAGTACTAATGTGGGAACACGACTCAACATGATACCGCTGCAATGTGAAGCAATGGATTGTTGTGTTTTTAAGTTCCTGTTCAGTGCAACAAATATATTTCCCAATTTTTATTTCGCTTGTGCTCCTGGCGTCTCGCCGTGAGAACGCTCGCAGAGCAGTGCGCAACTCTTCGAGAGAATTGCTCACGGAAGCGGGTATCACACGAGCTCCTAATCTAATCACGTGACCTGTGACTCACCCGGACACACGAGAGGACAGCACTTTCTCACCTGCTCTGCACATTTTCCTTACACGACAAGCCTAACCTATATTTTACTTCTGAAAGCTGTAATTTAGCCAAAAGAAGTGCAGTCGTTCGTCACCAGGTAAGGTGCACCGAGCTATATAGCCCTTTTTTAGAAGCGACCTGCCCACACATGATAGTCCAATGAGAAGTGACTTGTCACGTGGTCATTGATAGCAGCCGAATACTCTAAACGCGTGATGTTGATTTGAAATGGGGAGTGGTGAAACTGAAGGACCCGGAGTAAAATCCATGCGACCACGGGGAAAGACACGCAAACTCCAAATATACAGGTGTCAGGGTTAGGATCGAACCCACGACCTCATGTATACCAGGCAAGGTAGTTAACATCTCGCCACCGTGGCGCCCTCTATCCACCTGTATTCGAACACGGAATTTCAGCGGTGCACTCAAGAACTCTGAGCCAGACAGCCACCCACCCTTATTGCTGTATTTATTTAAAACCCAAAATGCCTGTTGAATTTTTTATATTAGGTATCGATTGCCCTGGCTATGATAAAGCGCGTGTGCAAATTAACTCGCGTGCAAGACGCAAGGTGGATTTGTTGCATCGCAAAATCGTGAGATGGTGATGGCTGGGAGAGGCCTTCATCCAGCAGCAGATGGATCATGGTTCGTGTGTGTGGGGTGGAGTGGTGGCGCAGAGATTAGTGCACTGAGCCACCCGGGTTTGATTTTCGTCCGTGGCTAACAACTCACATGGTAAAATATGACCAAACAACCCCACGGCTGATACGGCGTGAGCGCTTCCATGCAACAGTAGTTCGACAAAAGGCTGCAAATCGTTTTTTTTTTTTTACATCTGGGTACGTGAATGTATGCCCATCAGCGCTATGATCTCATTGACCCAGATTTCATTCCAGTTAATGATACAAATCATTGGCCGTTGGTATCTAATAACAAACTTAGCCTTCCCTGGTTCCACTGGGTCTAAAACAATTACTAGCTGTGTTGTGGTTATGAAATTCAGTTCTTCCGAAAAACAAAGGTGGGCCGGTCCCGCGTGTTTTTGTCCACACCTCCCCTTTGTCCGGCTGTGTGACCTTTAACAACAGGAAGCTTGCCAACAATGTTGCTTGCACCCCAAAGATGTGTCTTTATGGAATTATAAACATTGGTGGTTCTTGATATTTGTTTTGTGTGTGCGTTTGTGCAGCACACGCTATGTTCAAGCTTGTCTACCTCAACAACCACGACTACAAGCACCAGTTCTTCCAGGCTGATGCTTCCACCATCAACGAGATTGTTCTGAAGGTGAGCGCTTGCACTTTGTCGCAGGCCGAGCTAAGACGGCGTGGGACCTTCTACCCGAATGCACCGTCTCAAGACGTTCAGTGAACCGTGGAAATTATCCTGGCTGCCCTGCAGGCGCTGCCGTTATTGAGCCGCGGGAGCGGGGCGTTTGTCGAGCCGTGCCGTCAACGTTCATCTTGAGCCCTCGCGAGCCGAATAAAAAAATCCCAGTCAAGTGCAGACTTGGATCGAACGTGTGTGCCGGGGTTATAGGTCGTAGCCACCTGGGTGTGGAGTAAACCAGGGCTCGGACACAGGATGTCAGAGGTCCTGCTGTTTCCAGCTTGAGCTTCGGCTTCGTGAGAGATTCCCAGTAACCAAGGCGTGAACGTAGAACCCTAGAGGTGCTGGCTAATGCTATCATGTATGTTGGACGGCTTTCGCACCGTAAGTAGCCAACCCTGATAATCGGAGGTGCGGAAGAAGGAGAACAAACTAAACACAAAAATCAGTCCTAAAGAAATGCAATTTTTCAATCGAGATGATTTAAAAGTCCACAGCTCCAGTGGCTTCTTAATATCGGAAGAGCATTCCAGACGGGCCGCAGAAGCGCATCTAAATGCTCGCGATGCAGTGACCGTGTTTGTTTGCTGGTTTCTGCTCCATGACGAGATGAGCAAGATTTTGCGGTTCATGTTTGTAATTCAAGCCCATGAGCGGGTTTGGGCTTGACTATAAAACTGCAGAGGTCCTCGCTGAATTCCCCAAGATGGGCGGCAGCTCCTGGTAAAGCCCCAGTGCTTGATCTCAGAACATAAGAGATCTCAGTGTCCCACCTTGTTCATCAGTAGCACCCTGTGAGATGACCAGTCCCTCCACTTGAACCCAGGACTCGGAGGTGATGGCACATTGTCCCTGGTAGATTCAGTCGGCATCATAATCCTCTGGGCTTAATTCATAACCTCCCGTGTCTCAACATGCCCATGAGTACCCTGTGAAGATACCCAGTTCCCAAGACTTGAAACCTACATCTAAGCGGTGCTGGCTCCGTTGCCTCAACACTTACAACAACCTCCAGCCTGGCTCTCCAGGCCTTGAACCCAAGTTCATCAGAGGGGCTGACTCACTCGTGATAATGATTTGTTTTTGACGTACCGGCCCCGTATGCTTTGGCGTCTCGCAGCGCTTTACATCACGTCTCATCTCAAATGTCCGAAAAGGGCACCCCCCGGTAGCCGCTTTCCCTGTGGGCACGAGGCGACTCAACACCTGGCCTACAAATGCGCATTTGTCTGCCCGTGAAGGAGGAGATGTTGTTTGGTAATCCCAATCGAGTCATTTGCGGGTGGTCTTAGTATTTGGCAACATTTGTCCGTGATACCGGCACGCAAAAAAACCCCCTACTGTTGCGAATGAAGTTGAGGGGTCTTCAATGTCTGCCGTGAGCAAAGCAGACGGCGAGTAATTTTATCAAGTGGGAAAACCCTATTGTTATATTTTATTAAGGTTATTGCACACCGCAGTAATAATCAGGGCAGCCGCGGGAGTCGGGTGGTGAACCTCTGCAACAAGCGGCGATCACGTGACCGCTAGGCCACGTCACCCGCCCCCATGCAACATCCTACTCTGGACATCGGCCACCTCCGTAAGAGACGAAGAATTCGAAAGTAATATCCCGCTCATATGAGAAATCAAGGTGGTGCTTATCTCCCGTTTACAACCCTGAGCCAGTGGTGGAATTCCACATTCCTATGGCATGGGTGAGAATAGCATAGGCCTACCACTGTTGACTTTCGCACAAAGTGGTACTCATCAGAAATCCTGGCTCCATGGCCCAGTGAATCTGTCTTCTCGGAGGCTCCCAGCCCCTTTTCACTTTACATCACCCTGCCTCTTGAAGATAAAGCGGTTGTTTGTGCCATGTATTAAATTATAAGAAGCAAAAAATCAGCGAAAGAGTGTCACCTCCGTGACACTTGGATCATGGACACTAGGCTGGCAAATGCGACAGCGCGGGGAGGAGGGGGGGAAAAAAAAGAGTCTTTAATTAAAAGCGCCTTTCTGTGGCATATGCCGCCGCTTGCGCGCTGCTTATTAAACAACGGCAAAATTGCGCGCGTTATAAATTTTAATTAAAAATGGCCATATGCCGCTGACGGCTCGGGAAGTTTGCGGAGACGCTTGTGAGGTTTGCTCGCGCTCGAGTAAATTTTCCTGATGGCGGTGGCCCCGTTGGGGCCCAGCGATCTCCCTCCATTTCCGCCACCGCCGCCGCTGCTGCTGCTGCTACTGCTGCTGCTGCCACTGCTGCTGTACACAAACACAGCCAAGCTGCTTTGGAGGGAGCTACAACCAAAGAAACAAATGACCGATGTTTTGTATACACACCTCGGCTGTCTATCACGGGCTGCGTGACATGACTTTAAAGCATTGTTAACGAGACGCAAAAACAGTGGCAAATCTCAGCCACGTGACATTCAGGTGTACCCTTCGTAGCTTCCTCTAGTGTCGTCACATCCACTTTGGCTTCATTGATACGTGGGAGTTGATGGGCACTGATCCATGTCCCTGAACTTCTCAGAGCACCAACCAGCCACAACTTGCAGGCAGAAGCATGTTGATCACAAGATTTGGACAAAAGTCCTTGTGAGGATTTCACTTGGTGGTTGCTGCACTTCGTGGTGATGTAATGTGTGGTAGGGAGCCTCTGATCTGATGAAACATTTTTTTTTTTGTAAACGCCAATTGCAGATTTGACACCAAATCTTGGTTTGGTATCGTACCACAGCTCGCGATAACATTTTCAGAGTGTGACCTGTCCGCTCGCATGCTACTCTCTGTCCTGTGCCCGTCCCTTATCAAGCCGAGGCAATTCCCACAGTAAATCGTGATATAAGTCTAGTATATCTACGGTGTAATAATCCCATTTATTTATGCTATGTGGCTTTCTATTTCTCAACTCCCTCACTCCAACCCTGAGAAAATAGCCTGCGAATGCGTCCTGCCTTTCCCATGCTCCAGTCTGTATACTTGATAAAGTCCCAATTCTGGGTATCCGTAAGTAAGAATTTCTATCGTTTTTGCCCAATATGTATGCAGGCAAAAGCAGGTGCAAGTGCTGTGGGTGGGTGAGACGTTATCTCCCTGGTCTGGTACACAGGAGGGTCGTGGGTTCGATTCCGATCCTGTCGGCGTCTGCTGTATATTTGGGAGCCCCCACGTGTTCTCTCTCTCCCGCCGTGGTCGCGTAGATGCGATTAAATAACGAGCTCCGATGAGCTGTCATGTGCGGCTGTGGCCAGGTTTGCCTCTGAAAAAGAGCGATAGTTCAGTGGGGTTTAGCTGTTTAAAATAAACGGGTTGTTTTAGGGGTAGTGGCTCGTACCTTGTCAAGGTCGTTGTTATAATGGCCACGAGGGTGGTGCTCATCTCAATTGGCTTTTTTAAGCTCGTGGTGGAAATTCCACATTACTTTGGCAAGGACAAATGCGTCTGCTGGGAAAACCATTGTTGGCTTTTTTCCCCCCCACGAGTAGTCCTACGCTGGTGATAACTCATTTTAAATTATCCTGGAGGGATGATGGGCTGAGCTAGCCCTGGCTTCAGTGTTATCGATCTCATGAATGGTGACACTCTGCAATCTGAGCTATATCCAGGCACCTCGCTATTGGCGTTTACTCAGGTATTGCTTAAATACAGGTGACGCTTATCTGTGTTTCTAGGGATAAGTTTCGGATTTTCAGATTCTAAAGACAACTTTGTATTTAAAAAAAAAAAATTCAGGCAGTTCACATGATACAATAATATAATGTATCTTCGCGCTACATTAACTGATATTACCTGACACCACTTTTAGGGGTAACATCACGGAAGTAATGGAACATGTGATGTCATATTATCAGATCGATCTAACACAAACAATTTTATATTTAGGCAAGATTTTCGAAAGCCGAAAATTGGGAAAAACATCCCCAATGTGTACGTTGCGATACGGCCCCAAATCAAGGCATTATGGTCCCACAATTACTAAGTATTGCCACAATACTTTATTAAATAGCGTTCTTGTGGAAGTAGTGGCAGTGCTGATATCACGACACCTATGGGTTACAACAATCCTGTTAATGTGGTGATTGAATGCACAATCCATAAGGGAGTTTTTTGGGTTAGATCACGTAAATATAAATGTGTTGTTAAACCCAACACCTGACAAAGCCAATTGGTAAGTTTGTCACGTAAACAAAACATGCCAATTCGTTACTTGTACAGCACACTGGTGTGTTGGGGAGTAAATTGGTTTACTGTGTTGGGTGGTGGCGGGTTTAACAATGCATCTATATTTACACGATCAAACCCAAAAAAGCTCCTGAAGGATAATATTGGTTGCGAAAGCGTACGTGTTTAACTGAATTCACAATACCTGTAACTTTTGCCATGCAATTGTCCCATAATCCCCCCCAAAATGCTCCTGTGCACAGCTGGGAACTGTAATTGGCAAATCAAAAGCTCATGCAAAAATGTGAAAGTGAAGCAACAACACAACTCTCACAGAGGATCGGATGGGAGAGCGACAGGCCTCCTGCCAGGGTTGTGCTGCGTTGAAGGGGAATCCACATTATTGAGGCTGCCTTTGTGGTGGTGAATGGTATCTGCATTAATGAAGCAAATGCCCTTATGTGCCCAGGCGATTTAATAAGCCTAGGATACATCGCTCCAGCAAGCTGCAGCTTGCAATTAGTAATCGTGCGTGTGAGTGTGTGTGTGTGTGTTTTAATTTGAGGTTTTCAAATGCAATCGAGGCTCGTTTTACACTTTGGCTCGTGCCCTTTTTTTCATTCGAGCCAAGTAATCAGTACACCGCTCGGCCACCGAGAAAGAGTTAATAAGCTGCAATTACGGACCATTACCATAATTATCTCATAAAAGCCGTATGCCTCGCGCCGCGTCCCGGCTGCGCCTTAAAATTTCATTTTGCGGAGCTCGCCGCGTCGTCGTCGCCCTCGCCGCGTCGTCATCGCCCTCGCCGCGTCATCGTCTCCCTCGTCGTCGTCGCCCTCGCCGCGTCGTCGTCGCCCTCGCCGCGTCATCGTCTCCCTCGTCGTCGTCGCCCTCGCCGCGTCGTCGTCGCCCTCACCGCGTCGTCGTCTCCCTCGCCGCGTCGTCGTCTCCCTCGCCACGTCGTCTCCCTCGTCGTCGTCGCCCTCGCCGCGTCGTCGTCGCCCTCGCCGCGTCGCTCTCGCGGCCGAGGGCTAAAAAAAAGAACGGGACACGGAGCCGGCTCGCCGTTGTGGCCATCGCCGCGCCATCGCGGCACTCGCTCGTGCTCTCCCCAGTCCTTGCCAATGGTTGGAGCGGACGTAGCGGGGAGCGTGTGAACAGTTGCTTGCAATGGATACCCATTGTCATTTACATGCATTCATGCATCCCCCCCCCACACCCCCCACTTCGCTCAAGGAGGGCTCACAAGTGAGGTCATCGCATCTACCCCTCTGTTTAAGGAACGAAACGGGAGGAGGATTTCTCCGCACATCTGGCTGCCGCCTGATGATGCCGGTCGTAATTGCCGGGTGTGTCGGGTGGTGGCGGGTTTAACGACCCATATATTTACGCGATTTAACCCAAACAAAAACTCTGCTATGGATGTGCTTGCGCTTGCACCAAGCGATGGTGTGTCCCGCAAAGTCAGGACGGGTCTGCCTGTTCAAACGGGCAATGATTGGTGATCATGTCAACCAAAGATCCTGAGCTAGTGGTGGAAGTTGCACATTCCCCTGGCAGGGGACCATCACGGAATAAGACAATCGCCGTTAGCATCGTACACAATGTTTCGTCTTTATTTTTTTTATAGTAGATGGATGGATGCCTTTTTTAGTTTTTACTCTTCCACCCTCCGAACTGGGATTTAAACTCATGACCTATGTTGGCTCCGCTGCAAACAGTGCCACCCGTCTGGATAGAAAAAAAGAGATTTGTGATTTTAAAACAAAAAAATATCACGTCGGTTATCCAGCAACCATTTCTCATTGGCCGCGCTGACGGCAGTGCTACCTGGCTGGATCTCTAGAGTCACGTGCTCCATTGGCAAGACACCAGAGAAGCGGAACTCATTCAAACTGGCACAGACTAAGGTCTGAACTCGAGTTGCTAACATGAGTGGTATGAACAGAGTCATGTGGCGGTGGAGGAGGGGGGGTTGTAGTGAACAGAGCCATTAGTGAGGTGTAAGAGGCAGGGCCTGGGCGAGAGAGAGAGAGAGAGGCTTGTCTTGCTCACGATTTCAGTTCAGATAACATCGGATCGGTTTCCATCCCGTCTGATGTAAACTGATGCTTCGGGGCAAACCCAGCTCACGAGCTCAAACGAGCAACAGTGCATGGCACTCATCGCTGCTGGTGGGCCCCTTGGCCAGTGGTTAAAGTTCCACGTTCGCGTGGTGGGTTGCTGGGTCTCTCTCCTGGTGGGCGAACGACTGACCGCCGGGCGCGTCTTCATTCCGTGGAGATGATGCGACAGGCGAGAGTCGACTCCCGACCGGGGAATTGAACTCGCGGGCGGCCCCCCTTTACGACGGCGAGTCGGGCTTGTTGTCGAACCGCGGTGTGCTGCCGACGCGGGCGACACGAACTGCCGCGAACCGCCCCCCCCGTGCCTCTTCGGTGGCACGGGGGGGGGCGGCTTTTTGCCAGCGGTGTCGGGGAGCGGCAGGGTTAAGGCTGCGCACCACTCTCCCCCCCCCCCCCGGCGTGGGGGGGGGAGTATCTCGGCGTGCGACGCCACGCCGTTTTGAGCGCCGCGCCTCGTAAACTTTACATGTAACCCACGGGACGCGCGTGACCTTTTCCCGTCCGTGCCCCGAGGGCCCCCCCCCCACCATGCCCACCCACGCGTGCGGTTGATTATCACTGCCCACCGCGTCATGGCACTTCCCGTGTGTACTCGCACTGCTTTTTACACGTCTCAGAATTTGACCCCGAATGTGTTTTTTGACACGGTGTTATTTGGGTTATGGTCGTTTTTTGTTTGTTTCGTTTAGCTACCTTATCTTGCGCGAGAACCTCTTGCGGCGTGTGTACATCAGCATTGGAGAGACAAAGGCGGCCAGGCGTGGTGCTGGCCACCCATCCCTGTTCATATAGAGTCCCGGCCTTCTGTCGCCTACTCTTCATATGTGGAAACTGACACAAGTTGGGATATAATTGGCAAAATAAAGTGAAAGCAAATGAAACAATACAATCACACTTACCCCAAACAGTGTTGAGGATTGCAGGCGAGATGTTCACTACCTTGCCTGGCATACAGAAGGCCATGGGTTCCATCCCGACCCCGATGCCTGTATAGTTGGAGTTTGCACGTTCTCCCCGCGGTCGCTTGGATTTTTCTCCAGGTCTTCCTGTTTTTCCCCCTTCATTTTTTTGAATCAACACGCGTTTAGGGTATTTGGCTGCCTCAAGTTTCCACGCGATAATGCACTTCCTTGGGCTATCATTTTGTGGCCAAGTTGCTTCTGAAAAAGAGCTACATAGCTCAGTGGGGCGTTAGCTGGTAAAAAAAAAACAAAATTAACAATAGTTTATTTTGTGTTTGTTCGTCCTTCCTCTGCACCTCCAATTAGCCCAGTGGGCTCTGTACGGCGCGTTTTCTCCCAAACGGGTCCTGACGATCCGCACCCCCCCCCCCCCCCCCCCCCCCACCACCGCCCTCGGCCCCCCTCTCCTTCCAACTCCCGCCGCCGCAGATCAACTACATCCTGGAGTCGCGGTGCAGCGCCACGCGGACCGCGTACCGTTCGGCCAAGCAGCGCAAGCTCGCGCGCAGGTCGAGCTTCACCTTCAAGGATCGGCGCAGCACTGGCGACCGGAGCGGCGGCAGTGGCGGAGCCAAGCCGTCGTAGCGGCGGGGAGCGGAGGCGCGCGCCGGGGGTGGCGTCGCCGTCCGCCCGTCGCCGCCAGAGGTTTCCGTCTCGATTTAAAACTTAAAAAAAAAAAAATTTGTACGCGTTTTTTTAATTCCATTCCCCCCCCCCCCCCCCCCCCCCAATCTTGTTTTGTCAAAGCGAATTGTCCACCGAATGTTGCGCAGCGGCAGTTTGGTCTGGGAGAGGTTGGGGGGGGTGCGGGGGTGGGGGTGGCGCAGGGTTTCTCTTCCCGGCGGCGAAGAAGTGTGCAGCAAATGGCTCTCTGAATCGTAGCTACGTGGATACCCTGAAAAATAATTTGGGTAACGGCAAAAGTTGGGTCGGAAGTCGAAGCGTTTCCCTACTCAAACGAGCAATGGGGGGGGGGGGTGCGGCATCAACTCCGTTCGGGCAGTGGTTGAAATTTGACAATCTCGTGGCGAGAGGTTTTGATATCCACCCACCAAGTGGCATCTGTTCGCAGGCTACATCCGACCTGAGGTGAGTCCTATACCCAAAACCTGCCCAGGGTTTGTCTTGTTTAAGATGCGTTGGATGCAGAAGGCGTACTGGTTAGTGGGCGAGGCGTTCTATCGCTTTAGCATAAAAAAAATAAAAATCACTTTTGTATTTTTTTTCCACCAGAGATAATGGGTTTGATTCGTGTATTTTCTGAAAGGCCGTTTCCACTTGATATTGACAGAAATATCGGCCACACATTTGCCGTTCTGCCAGTGTATTTGTGAATAGGGCCCCCACCGTGCATTCGTCCTCAAAAAGGGCCTTTTTCGTAACAGCAGCAGATTTTCCAATGTCGTATACATCCAAGATTAAGATCCCACCGTATAGCGTTGTGCTGTTAGCGAGTAGCACCTATGAAGGCCGACACAGCACACAAGGGGGTGGGTGGCCAGCACCACGCCCGACCGCCTTTGTCTGCCCAGTGGCGATGTTTACTACACACCGCAACAGGTACTCATTTGAGGCCGAGTCGACTTAGGGGAGGCCCAGGACTGGTTCAGATAATCGTCACCGGTGTTGGTGACTGTGAGCAGAAATCGAATTCGGGTCTCCGGGTTCGTAGTGCAGCGTGTAGTGCCGACCGCTACACCACCGCTCCCCACAGCACACGCTGCAGCAAACGTAATGGCGTGGCAGTTCACACCCTCCCCAAATTCACGTGAAAGTTTTTGATTTGGGGTCATAGTTTTTTTTATGGTCTTGTTATGCGTTTAGAATCCAGTGTGGCCATAGGGTTTCACTGAAGCAATTGCAACGTATATGGATAGGAAACCGATCGATTTTTATATGCACGATTTGACGTGCATGTCATTAGTGTAAAGGTCGATTTGAATCAATTGATACAACCCTAAATAAAATACCATTTGAGCAGCTTTGTTTTGTAATCTGGTTCTGCGTCTCATGGACGCGGCAGAAGATTTACGCCTTTTGCAACCGGCTTTAGGCATGCGAATTCAGATAATTAGGATGAGAAGCGGGAATGTAGCGATTCATTGAAATCTATTTTTACGCTGACCATGTACAGTCCCTGCAAGAATCTGCAATTTACAATGTATGCAAATTATCATAGTGTCACACTTAGGCTAATGGCGTGTACAAGACTGTAAAAATGGGACGATGGAACAGATGAGGAACCAATACAAAGGAGTGCTGAACAAGATGCGCAATTATCATTGAACTGAATTTGCGGCCCCAAATTGTGACTTAGATTTTTTGGGTGGGGTGAATAACGAGATGGCCAATGAGAGGACGCGGAAATTGAGAATCCGTTTGTAATCGCCAATCAAGTTGTCGTGTGTTCAAGTATTATCCCCATGCTATTAATGAGTGGACACTGATGGTAAATTTATATTGGCAGGGTGGGTTCGTGTTGTTTCAAAGCTGTGAAAGTCCCCAGCCAGATTCGTGTTGTTTTGTGAGCATTGGCATGGTTATGTTTTTGCTAAACCGATGTCGGAAACAAAGGCTCATTTAAATCCATCCGAATTGTAAATCCGGAATCGTAATTCTATTGGAATTCCACAGACGACTTATTGCAAGGAGCAAAGAATGCAAGTTTTCTCAATTTTCTTCCCGTTTTGCAGAATTGGTGTGCCGAAATTACACGTCTACAGTATATGGCATTATATAAAGACAAGTTATGGGTTTTTTTTTAATGCTCATCTGTTGGGACAGTTGTCCTCTTACTTGGCGACTGAAAGCCAGTGGTGGAAATTCTGCATTCCTTTGGCAGGGGAGCGTTTTATTCACTGGACAAGCACCGTCGACAATCTCACAAGGCAGTACTCGTTTTATTGACTCTGGCGGGGATGATGGGCTGAGTGGACCCTTGGCCAAGGATTTCACGTACTGTATGACCTAATCGTGAGGCACGTGCTCAGCGGAAGCGCCAACGAACTTGTTATTTTATGCGTAAAATTGATTGCGTGCAATCAATATAATCGGTGTCCAGAACTTAATTTGGATTAATTGTGTTTAGCGTTAAAGGAATGGTAATGTAATACTAACACAGACAACCGAGTTAGACGAGTAATGAACGCCTCATTGGGCCATCAATGGCTCAGCAGGGGACCCCCCCCCCCCCGCATGGACGTTAATCATTTTGCTTTATTCATGAAACAAAATTGTCGGTACTATTTTAAAAACTACTCCACACGTTGAAGAGAGACGATGTCACCGTTTTTTTTTTATAAGAATCCGTTTTTTTATTTCTCATGCCGATTTACTACGATGACTTGAGTTTTGAAAATGTCGTGCTCGATAACGGTGTGCTGGCAGAACTGCTGCCCCTCCCCGACTCTGGGTTTTGGCAAAATCTGCCAAATCGGTAGAAAGCAAAACAGAAGTTGGGGCGTCGCTTTCCCCGCCAAATATCGGTAGAAGCTGCCCCTTTATGCCCTTGCGCGAATTTAAGCCCTGTGCGACAACATTTCTAAGGAACTGTTCTTCAATGGCCTTCAATTGTCGAACCAAAACAATTTACAAAAGGTTTAGCAGACGGGACTGACTTTATACAAAACCGGTTCATCGATACCATGCCTACTACCACCCGTTACACCGCACTGCCATGACCTTTTGATACAGAAGTGTGTGTTTTATACTGAATGTGCTGCTCCTTCAGATGAGTTCAGTCTTCCACTTGTGTTCGTTCTCCATTGATTTTTTTATTGTTAATATTATCGAACGTCTGAATTCCACGAATTGGACCTCCGGTTTACGGGGAAGGGGCTTGTGGCGCTAAGAGGTTTAACATTTTCACTTCGCAAGCGAACGGAACGAGGAGACAAACAAAAACCCCAATCCATTCTGTGTACGTTTTTATTATTTTATATCCAGGTGAGGCTGTCTGGGCTGCAGGAGGTCACAGTCAAAAATAATAAGGGTGGTGTTTTCCGAATCATGTCATTTGCTCTTTTTGTTTCAAGCAACAACGGTCAGTGCTCCGTCTAGGCATGATGCTGTGGCCACTTTTGAGTTAAGTGATCGGTCCAAACTAAAGACGAAAAAAAACTGATGCTATGCCTACAAATTGTACATATAACAAAAAAAGAAACACTGTTGGGGAAGCAGTGCATTACAGTGATCACATTACCAATGACAGGTCTTGTAATCCCGTATTAATACTCCCATTTTCATTGTCTAATCACATTACTGTTACTTAGCACGTGCCCCGGTTGATTATTTTTGATTGTTAATTTTAATGTACAGGGGCGGGCGGTGATAAATGATGGTGTCGGCAGCTTGGGGTTAATGCGGAGACTGCAACAGCCCAAATATAGATCGCGTTGCAATGCCGTAGCAGAGTGCTGTCATTTCTGAGATGAAAGCAAAAACCCCCTTGTTAATTTTAATTAAGTAACGAAGTAAGCGGATTACTGTTATTTTGGAAACGCCAAGTACGGGATTACATTGCATTACTTCTAATATCTGGAGTGATCGTTCATCGGAGTCCCACCCCAAGCCCCCCAAGCACTGTATATCACGCACGCATATCCACGTGCATTCGTAAAGAACCTATATGTATATACACGCACACACAATGTAACAACACGACTGTGTTTTACCCAGACAAACAATCAAGAATATACGACTCTTTGGTATAAATGTGGTGGACGTTAGCATAAATAGGAGAAGCCTTATTAAGATACACTACTGTCAACCATGACAATGATAGACTGTTGAAGCAGGCGCTGGGAGTGAGCACCTATTAGGGCTGGCGATGATGAATCCAAGGGTGATGTGGTCGGCACCGCATCCCGTCCCCTTTGTTGTATCCCTCCCATACTGAATTGGACACCACGCACTGCACAAGCTACATGCTGTCAAGGCCGAGATGACCCAGGAGAGGCCAGGCGTCAAATACCCATTGTCACGGTGTTGTGCACCGTGGCCAGGAATTGAGCCTAGGTGGCCAGGATTGTAGTGCAGCGCACGAATCACGACGCCACAGCTGCCCTTCCCCACACACACACACACAAATATTCCCCGTATAGCCTTAACGGACGTTCGGGGCCAAGTGCTGTTAGAGAGCATCTATGAAGGCCGGCACGGCTCAGAAGGCGGGTCGCGGGGGCCCAACACCACACCTTTGTCTCCCCAGTGGCGATGTTTACACATCGCACCAGGTACTCATTTGAGGCTGAGTCGACCTAGGGGAGGCCCAGGACCGGTTCATAGAATCGTCACCGGTGTTGGGCGTGAGCGGGAATCTTAAACTCGGCTCGCCGGGTTCGTGTCGCAGCGTAGCGATCCACTGCACCGCCGCTCCACCCCCACCACAACCACGCGCGCGCGAACACTCACCAAACCGCAGAGGGGGTGATTACTGTGAATATTAAAGCGCCATTGTAAGTGGATGGGGATAGCTGTTAGGGAGCACTCTGGCATAACTACAGCCTCTCATCTGCGTGCTTCTTTCATCATTGTCCCTTCTGAGGTTGTCCTCTGTAACATACGCACCAGTCAAATGTTTCGTATCTCTTCGCCCGCCCGCATCGGTATTTGTCGAATGCGCCCGGCCTCCGGGTTGTGGGCAATCGGGAAGCTGTGTGTACAGTC